TCGCGACCGCATGACCTACTTGCAATTCGGAACGTGCCTTTTAGTTCTGGTTTGTAAATGCTTGATTTCAATGTCTAGTTTATTTTTTCAGATTGAAAAAGGTATGCCACTGACGTTCACGGACTGTGAATGTTCCGGGACAAGCGACCTAGCCGTTAGCAGAGATTATTGCCCAACCGGTTCGATTTTGAATACATTATTATTTTTAGCATGTAATTTTCGGAGCAACGGTAGTTCTCAGATATTTTGCGGCGCAACTATGACGCGTCATGTCTTTACACCTTTCGATGGCTCAGAATGGGTCTGCAGACCATTTCCATGTATATTCGAAACCCCTGAGATGTGGGAGGCGTGGCCGCGACTTCCACTAAACGTGGCGGTGCCCTTAAAGAGACATATTCAAACTATTGCGCTCGTGTCTCTGTCCAACAAAAAAAAACAGACGAACGTTGTCTCAAACTGCACGAGTAACCCATTCGGTGCCATGTTCTAATGCCACGCCTACTCCGTCTCAGGGATAAGCAGTGTACATGAGCGCAGACATGGAAGAATTACGCGTGCCGTGGTTGCGCCATCCCATCTACCTTTCCAACTTTTTCTCCAATTTTTTCGCTCCAACTAAACGTGGTCCTTAATTTCAGAGCACTGTAACAGCCAATTCCATTTATTCTTCTTCAACCAGGCAGCAGGAGCGGTCTTCGGTGGTCTGTCAGTTGTTCCTGGAATGTTAATAGTTCTGAGGTGACTTTAGCCTCATTTCTCGGAGTTCGTTATCAGTTAATGCTTCTTAAATAACTTATATAGATAATGAGATTTTAGTAAAATTTTTGAGTAAAATTTTACATAGTATTTTGATTGTTAGATTTCTTACTACACTTTTCTTATCTAAGTTTAGAGGGGGTGACTCAAAGAAGTAGCTTAGTTTCCGTTTCGCACGTGCCCTTAGACGGAAACCAAGCAGTTTGTAATATCCTCCTTCTGTGCTCATCAGTAAGGGAAAAGGAGGAATAAGGTGTTTATTGTGATAATTTACTATAATATTATATATATGAATTTAGTAAAGGTGAGTAAATGTTTTTTGAGTAATTTAGTTGTTCTTTTTGTACGAGACTTACTTGTTCAAATTTCATGTTACAAATTTTATAGATCAGTGCCTCCGGAGCACCGCAGTATTTCACTCGGTTTCAACGGTTTCCTCGTCAGTTTACTCGGTAAGATCTGAGCATCTTCGCGAGTTATTTTGTTGTTCTGTTATGGTTTCACCTGAGGCCATTTCAGCCACTCTCCCATCTCCAGTATTCTGGGGTAAGATATTCGACTTGAGTTGCTTGATGTGGCAGAATGTATGTAGTAAAACTGGAGCTTGCCCGATATATGACACTGATCAGCTTCGGATACGGTAGGCGTACATAATAAAAGAGCCCTTGGGCGATTGTAGCCGTAATTTTTCCCATTCAGATTGCACATCATCTATGGAGGTCTACGGATTTTCTCTCTGCTATCTGATATCTGGGTAGTATACTGGGCAAAAGGCTTGAAACTGGTTGACGAAGAAGAGGAGCCGACAAAACTGAAAGAGAGCGACGATGATGCTCAAGAGCTCAGGCCTTTGACGAGCAACAGTGAGAAAGCTGAACCGTTGGAACCGCTTTTTGGCAGCCCTCAGAGCAAAGAGTCCGCATTAAAAGAGTGATATCTCGACAACTGTACAATGCAGACATTTCCACCCGGAACGGGTATTCTCGGTCATAGTTTGATAGTTGTAATTTGTGAATACATTGTTATACTATAATATAATAAAGCGCTAATTCTCTCTGTACATATGTCCATCTGCACCTCGTGAAATTCTGCGTCACGAATCATAGAGAATAGAATGCAGTGATTTGGGAAGGCTGGGACTTGATAAAAGGGTGCAGAGCGCATATGAATTGAGCCATGCTCCGCCCACCATGGATGTGATATACTGTCGTCCTAGTCGAGAATGTTCCAGTCCGTTCAGTCCCACTCTTCCACTCTGGCATTAAAAAAATTAGCAGTCATCTGTTCTCTATTTAGAGACATTGCACAGCGGCAGATAACTTTATAGGGCTGTTCCATCTTTGAAGTCGTAGTACGTACTTGCGAATACGTACTAAAGGAGATTCGATGGGGTTTCCAGAAATAGATGCGGTTTTTTTTCTTAATTGAACGGAGGTGATTTTCTTTCAAATTACGAACATGAGAGCGGTTTTGAAAAGAGAGAGATTCCGTCTTTTTGAAAACGCTTTGGTTTGTTCCAGAAATAGATGCGGTTTTTTTTCTTAATTGAACGGAGGTGATTCTCTTTCAAATTACGAACATGAGAGCGGTTTTGAAAAGAGAGAGGAGATTCCCTCTTTTTGAAATCGCTTAAGTTTCCAGAGTTTCCGAAGTGTTGGCGAATATAATGCGGCAAGGAAGTTGCAGGGGAAAAACTTCTAGCTGCTCGAAGAACCTATGTTTTGTGTACCCATTTCAGGTGGGCTTGTCAGAATGCACAATAACGCATCAAGAACATACCCCTTTGTGCGACAAAGATGGGGAGATCGGTTGATTTAAGGCAAGCCCCAGCTTCATTTGTGTTTCACACACCCTCTTTTGGCTATCGTCTCACTCACCCTATGAGGATGGTGGACGTACAAGTTTGCATCTCAAAAAGGCGAGAAAATAGCGCCGTCCGCTAGTGAAGGATCGGCCACCCCGCCCACCTGGCGACCACAACGCCCAAGCTCGTTTCTAATGGTTGCCTGATGGTGCGGTTGTTCCGCTACTAACTCTCTCCACTTTCGAATGGTGAAAATGAGGCGGTGATAAGGGCAAAGCAGCTGATACCAACGAAGCGGAACTCGTGTGGCGCGCCCTCGCGTTCGCTTGATGAGCATCGTACTCAGTCGGCGTAAGGTCCTATATAGCGACATCCCAGATTTTTTCAATCATTTTCCACAACTACAGTAGTTTTATCTTGCTATGTCACAGCCGCTGTCTGCAATCCCATAAACTCCTCAGTTTGAACGCGAGCGCTGCCTTTAAGGCTCACTAATTTCATCTCCTAAAGCGCATGCATTAGGCTCCCACGCAGGGGTAGCGGTATGGTGCGACTTTCCCGCAATTCTTGGCGGTTACGTGACATCTTGAACTTTTGCGCATGGTCCCCGTTGGGAAACAAAGCAAACCAGACAGATGAGGAGTGAGCCACTTTATCATACGTGGAAAAGCTGGAGTGAAGTCTGAATAATGACCATAGAGTGCCAAGAGGACGAGAGAGAGAGAGAGCAGCGAAAAACACAATTTCGACCGATCGCGTTCGAGAGAAATTTGAGTTCAAGTTTTCCGTAGTTCTAATGGACAATATCCGCGCTGGCCGCGTTTGAATGCAGGCTACAATAATCTGTTCTTTACCCGCTTGTGTCTCGAATAAGCAAAATCAACTGGTGGAGAGCAACTGATACGAACGATATGATAGTACTGCCGCCTACCGAAAGGAAGATAGAAAAATCTCTCCGCTGCCGGCGCCAAGCGCAGCCACAGCTGGACCGCATTTCAAGCAGCGAACCAGACTATAAGCTGTATTATTCAGTCATCTACGTATTTACGGATTTATGTGAGCTTATTAGTACTCTACTTCATCATCCGGTTTCTCTTGCAGAGGCAAGTTTGCGCCACCAACGGCTCAGCTGCACTGCACTTTTGCCCTCTTCGGTACTGACTATCGTCTCATGACGACTCCCCTCCACCACATCCACCCAACGGTCAATAACCACCGCCCTGTTGAAGAAACCCCAACGATGTTCCTGATCAATAAATAGCAAATACTGAGATGCACGGACTGTGAGTGTGGCACATACGCGAACGTGAAAGTACAAAAAATAAGCAATACGGAAAAAAAAAGACTGCCACGCAAAACTTCGCAAACCCTCCTCCTACTGCATATGCAAGCAACTATGAGTGCTCAGAATTCACACCTTTAAATTGTGTTCTGTCACCCCCCCCCCTCGCCCTCCCCCAATCTTTATCGAACGAAGATCGTCTTGATAAGACTGTTATTACAGAAATAGGAATCCACAAGAAATATTTAATTACTAAAAAACCGAATGATTAAATTCGAATCGACGGTTTTGCTCCAAAAAACCATCTCTGTCGTGCGGCACAACCATGTCGGTATCTCACAGGTGGTAAGGCTGCAAGTTACTATTTTGGCGGAAGCGGTCCATCTAGCGAATCATCAGCCTCTCGAGGGCCAAGAAGTTATGGATATCATCCTGGCGTATTCCTGGCCTTCCATAAGCGAGGAGTAGAAGATGCTAGAGGGGAAGTACAGATGGAAGACAGCGCGGATTAGGCGTAGTGCGTTTGTGGCATGTGCTACCGCCACCCGCTACTACAACATACCGCTACTACTAGAACGCTGGCGGGACTTCATTACACGCTGTGGACGCTGCTTCGCTAAGACGATATCTACATACTTTTCTAGTCGCGCTAACGCTGGAATGACGGCTAAAAGACTGCATGTTGCTCATAGAAGCTGCGTGTCCCTCCTGGACGCGCAGCAATAGCATGGAACCACCCAATACAAAGTTTCGGAAGGTTTCACATTGTGCCTTTGAAGGAGTCGGCCAGACTGGAATAATCACTAAAAAACGGGCTAGCACGCTCATAATATAACCTTTTTATATCCCCAGCCCTCAATTTCTTTGCAATGTATCCCCTCATGAAAAAAACCAAATCCCCGAATGTACTGGAAGTCAGAACAGGAGAGTCCAGCAATCAATACGAGAGATTTTGACGTTCATGAATTTTTCGGTTCCTTCATGAGTGAAAAAGATCTTCACTTTTTATGATCCATCTTGAAAGGACCAATTGATCATGATGGTTGTAAAGCTTCACCAGTTCAGCTGACTCCACGTGCATTGTTTTAGAAGCATTTTCTTCAGCTCCTTACATTCTCCATTTACAAAGTTTTCCCTTTACATTCTATGATTGTTTTTCTATCTAATTTGTTGCAGAAACGAGAGAGCGCAATTTGAAAGCCGTTGTTAGATTGCTCTCGTCCTAAGAATTACCTCGCACTTTTCGACGCTCTTGTGCAAACTTCTCATATGTGCCCTGAGAATCGGGCACAAACATCCTCTCTGAAGCGTCCGTAACAAGAAGGAAACTGTTTTTTTCGCTGCAAATTGCTTTGGTCCAGCCTGCAAATTGCTTTGGTCCAGCCTGCTATGTATTAGGTCATCCCATTCAAAAACGTGGAGAGATATAGAGTAATGGCAGGAAAGCACAGGGACCGTAGCTATGGGCTTCCGTATCGCTTGAAAGCACAATTGAATTTCACATATACCTCAAGCTAGGTATATGTGCAATTTGGCTAGCCTTGTCCAAGAAGAAAATCTAGAGAAATTGAAAAAGAATCGGATTGGTCAAAATCACCGGAGATTCTGCAATGGCGTCATAAGAGGGAAGTGCGCTGATCGAATTTCCTTACGCCAGACCACTAGCTGCACATAATGGTGTTCTCCAAATAAAATGTGGTAGAAACGCAAGCCTGATATCAATGCTGCAACCATTGCCCAGGTTATATCCGAAAAATTGAAGATTGTCGAGAGGGTCAGTGTTTGGGTATCTCATTTTCTCGTAGAAGCACTGACGCAGTACCGATTCTATGCCTGTAGCAGCAACATCTACCGCCTAAGACGTTATTCACGACTGTGAGAACGCCGTCCTAGACGAAAATGGGTGGTCCTGTACTCCGTGCCGAAATTCGCAAGCGTAAGTTTTGTATGAATACAGACTGGAAGCAGCCCTGGTAGAGCTCTATCATCAGGGTTTATATCGGCTCAAGGAGAGAATCATTATGGTGATAGATTGCTGCACTGTGGCTTTCGAGCGGCTCTACCTGAAGAACAAAACCGTCACTGTCGGTGTCTATTGCCAGTCACACGGGGTCCAGATCGGCAAATGGATGGTACTACAACTATTTACAAGAAGGCCACTGTAGCTCGTCACAGTGCCAGGCCCCAAGTAATCTTATTATTGGGTTATGCTAGTACACCAGCAATACTGAGAGCTGGGTTCAGTCGCCTCACTCGCCCAAAATAGAGCCGTGCGATTACAACTGCTCTTGTCAATATAAGGTACTGTCCAACGGCAAATGCTAAGACGTTTTATCATTTGCCGAAATTGGCATCAGGAGCAATTTACTGGCGACGGTGCCAGTGGTTTAGGAACTCCCTTACCCCTACCTTACTGCACGTTTTTGAATGATATGAACGGCTTGATCTGCCTGTTTTTTTTCTGTCTGCCCACTCATGCCGAATCTCTGTAGCCTTGAAGAGCCAGTTTGAGGGACCTGATCAAGAGTGGAACATGGGCTGAGGCGTACGGCATTCACATGAAGATAACAATTATACTCGAACATGTGCATATTACTGAGAAAGGAAGGATCGAGCTTTTGGTGGGAAGCGTTCACAGGGAAGCACCTTCACGTAGATCAAGAAACGGAGAATTCCCTAACGATCTAATGACGTATTAATAATAAATGAGGGAGAAAGTCTTTGAATTTGATGTTGTCCGCTGACATCTGCCCATCTCACAGGCATGCATTCCGCCATGCATATGCAATTGATGATGTGACCGCTGTGTGGACGCTGTGCCAACTCCCCCTCTTGCCAAGGATGGCTC